CCTCATTCGCACGAATGATAGAGAGGAGATGAGAGGAAGCGCCCATCCCCGGGTTGTCAACCACCCCAATATCCGACGTAATATGCAGCAAATGATCATCTAATATAGCAGGTAAAACTAGGCGAACTGGGGAAGAAGGGAGAGCATGGGGAGGAGGAGACGAACCTGCAGGAGGGAGATCTCTAGCCGCAGCGCGACGTTCCGCACACTCCGCCACCGAAACACCGGAATCCCGCACATGCCGACCCTTACGCGCCGTACACGCAGGAGAATGGAACACCGGCGAGGCCCTCGCCGGCGTCGCCGAGCCAGGACCAGACCCCGATGTAGCACCAAGGTCCTAGTCCAGACGACGAGCCAACCCTGCAGCAGAAACCTTGGAGGCCTTGGAGGTGGATGAAGCCCGACTCTTAGCAGAAACCTTGGAGGCCTTGGAGGCCCTCTTCTTCTTGTTGGTGGGAAAGTCAGAGGAGCGCCTAGGAGAAGCAGGGAGATCCTCAATGCCAGAGAAGGAGGGTGACTGCGGGCGAGTAGGCACATTAGAACAAGCACAGGAGATGGGGGTCCCCTTGCCAACCACCCCCTCTTGTGGATTCACCTTCTGGGGTTTAGGGGTCGGGGCGTTCTCCTTGAGATTCTCACAGTCATCGGAGTCCATCTTGTCCCATTCTGATTGAGTGAAGCGCAAATCCAAACCCCCATTGGGCTTCTGCCCCCCAGCCGAACCATCCCCCTGCGTGTCATCTTGATCAGAAGGTTTGGAAGGAGGAGGCGAAGGCGCAGGAGGAGGGGGGGCATGGAGGCCAACGCCCTCAACTCGAACACGAAGTCGAACACCTTCAGGGGAAGGAAAGACATCCACAGAGCCAAGAACAGAGGCCGGGTCAATGCACCACACACTGAGACGAACCGGGCCAACCTTCTCGAGAGATTCCAAGTCCACTTCCACAGGTTTGCCAATGAGGTTACCAAAAGCCATCATGAATTCCACTGACCGAAGGCCAACAGGCACATCATCAACCAAAACCCAAGTCTTGCTGAGAGGACCCACCACCTTCGCACCACAAGTAGCCGCTTTGACAGAAACTACAAGCTGATCGAGGGGCAGAGTAAAGCTAGTACACAACGAGATCATCCTTAGGCAATCCTTGGAGGGAACACCACAACAAACTCAAAGTCAGAGAGCTGGCGCACCTGCCAGTCCCAACCGCCCTCATCCGAAATCTTCAAGCCATCCAAAAGGGTCTGTGGGGAAATTTTCTGACCACACACTGTGATAATAGCCGCATTGGAGAGGGAAGGTGCAGCCATCACGAGAGGGACCTCAACGTCCAGAGCGAAAAAGGAGCAACCAGCAGACCCAACCCAAATTGCACAAAGGAGGGACCCTTGGTGCGATTGCGGCAATCCATCGTCAGGTGGCCATCGAATCGGCAGATGAGACAGAAGGGGGGATAAGTGCACCTCGATTGGAAGTGGTTCGGGCGGTGACAAGCAAAGCAGGTGAGGGTCGGAGAAGGGCCCGAGGGGACAGGATGATGGCGAGGAGCAGGAGCTGGAGGCTGTGGCAGCGGCAAGATGCCGTCGCCACGAACCCCCGAGGGCGCGCTCGGACCAGGAGGAGGAGGCCTCCGCTCCCCAGCCAACGAAGAGGACGACCCAGGGCCAAAGCGTTGCCTAGAGCGGGAGGCCGCGCCGGCCCCGAAGGAGCGGGGAGGAGGCCGAGGCAGAGGGACCGGCCCCCCCGGCCTGGACGGGGCGAGGCGCCGAAGAAGAAGAGCCACCAGCCGCCGAAGCCGCGACAGCCTCCCATGGATCCGACCCCGACCCAGCACCAGATCCAGGGAGCGCCGTCCTAGATCTGGCCACGGAGCGGTCCGACCCCGCCTCCCATTCCTCCCCCGCAAGCGCAGGCCCGCGCGCTGCTCGGTCAGCCACCAACTTAGAACGAAGCTCAGCCTTAAAGGCCAGATCTGCACCAGAGCCCGACAAGGACTCCCTAGCCCTCTTGCTCCCCGACAAGACCTCGGAGGAGGAAGCCCTCGACTTGTTCATGGCGAGCGCGTCAGCGAAGGAGAGGACAAGGGGGGTGGGGAAGAAGCGGATCTGGAGAAGTGGCGGATGGGACGACGCGCCCTGCGAATATCAGCGGCGGAGGCCGGAAACCCTAGGAAGGGGGGAAGGGTATTGCGGCGCACCCATATATAGCCGCAGCAGGCCGAGCCAGATTGGGCCGAACAGGCCGCAACCGAAGCCCAGGCAAAGGGGGGGAAGGCTGGGGCGCAGTGGCCACTACCACTTGCCCCGGGCCCACATACAGAAGGGGAGGGAAAGCAGAAAAAGACGACAGGGCCGGAGGAGCGGGCGGATCGGGCCGAACCCCAGCAGAGGCCGCCAGGCCCACAGGCCCAGCAAGGCCCTCCGAGCCACCCGGATCTAGGGTTAGGCCACCAACAGCCCCCGCCGCCGCCGACGACCGCCCTGGCCGGGGAGCAGGAGAGCAGGGAGGAGAAACGACAGGGGAAGCCAACCCACCCAGATCAGGAGCCACAACAGACCGGGGAGGACGAAGGGGAACACACACCTGAGAGGAGGTCAGATCCACACCCACCATGCGACGGCGGCGCCCAACACGCGACCAACCAGGAGACCCCGACGGCAGCGCCACCGGCCTGCCCCGACCGCCCGGAGCAAACTTCCGGGAACGACCAGCCACAGGCCCCGGAACCACCACCGGCACCCCCACGGCGGGGCGCACCCCTCCGAGTCGGATTCATAGGCCGAATCCTCCAAATCGCCGAGCGCCCAGAACCGCGAGCCAAGGAAGGGCGCCGACGCCAAGGGAGCCAGAGAGGGGGACGGCGAACGCCCAGAGCAGGGGCCACAGGCCCGCGCCACCGAGGGCAGGCATGGGGGCGGGGAAGAGGGAGGGCCGAGGGGGCCAAGGCCACCGGCAGGGGAGGGGACGGAGGGGGACGAGGAGAGGGGAGGGGGGAGGAGAGGGGAGGAAATACAACCATCGTAGCTTTGCGGAGCTGCGGGCTTTGGCCCATGACCTTTCGGGCGTCTCTCGACGTCTCTTTTGGGTGGGCTTGGGAGCGCTTTGCTGGTCCCTTTGGACGACTAGGAACAAATTTATTATTGAACATGTGTTTCCTGCTAAACCTCCTGACTGCTTATTTCAATCATGTGCCCTCCTGCAGCAGTGGAAATCATTGACTAAGGACGACGACCATGAAGCGTTCACTGCGTTAACCTCCAAAATTTGGGCGACGGCGTCTCTTCTTTGCAGACAAACGCAGGGTGACTAAGGTCTTTTGGCTGTCTGCTTGGCGTCCTCCAGTTGGGGGATTCTTCTTCCGGCCTGCGTGTCGTGTACTGGCGTGGGTGCCATGTACCAGACTTCTCCGTGTGTTGTGTTTTCTTTGGCGGCTGTTGGGCCTAGGGCTGCTGCTACTTTCCTGCGTGTTCCTGTGACCTAGCGTATGGCTTTATTTATAAAGTCGGGCGTATGCCTTTTCTTTAAAAAAAAATGAAGGCAAGAAATTTCGCCATCGCATTTGACTGAAGAGTTGCTGTGCGCGGTGCCTTCCATGGATAGCGTCGATAAGGACGAAGGGTACCTGGGCGGCGGCGGAGTGGGCGGCAACGTAGGCCAAGGCGTGCAGCCGCGAGGGTGGAGCTGCGAATGTCCGGTGAGGCCTGGTAATACTCACACATGGAGATTGGAGAGAGAGGGAGAGACACGGTATAGACCAAAGAGGCGGGATGTGGGAAGGAAGGGGTGGGCGTGGTCAACACAGAGATCAGAGATGGATATCTGAATCTGCTGAATGAATCAAGCAGAGCGGGCAAACGGTGGGTGGTGCATCGGAATTCGTAAACTGTTGCAGTATCTCTATATTTTATGTAGAGTAATCAGATTAGCCATAGTGTGGGTACGTAGTGACCACTTAAGCGGCGCCCCGCAACGCTGACGCGACTCCGTCAAAATCAAAATTCTGCGATTGCCATTGCCAGCTAATATTTGAGGCGAGCGTGCGTGCGTGCCAATATTATATTCTAACTCGTACTAGTAGAGTATATGCATGTCAACAACAAATGTGGATTGGACAATATCACTATGATCGATTGATGCCACAAAATGAATAAACAACTCGAGAGCTTCCAGGTTGCAAATAACAGAGGGAGACAGCGACCGATCGGTCGCTCTGGGGCAGGGCTACAAATATTGTATGTATATATCCTCTTGGCGGGACCCACCTCGATAGACTAAGGAAGCTTCCACGACGGCGATCAAGCTAGCTGTTTTTCTTTGCTTTTTTTATCTATTATTGGTGCTGAAAAAGGAAGAAGCAAGCAAGCTGAATAGATTGATCATAGATGGATGGATGGCTACTCAACATGCATGTCCACAAGTAGAAGTAGTAGCGGCGGCCGGGTTAGCGAGAAAATAGTACTAGTAGTGATAATTGCGTGGTGGTGGCCACATGCAAGCCACAGGTACGTGCAGCTGCAACTGCACCCCGCAGACTAGTAGACTAGTAGATAGATACTCACATCACATGCATGTTGAGAAAATTTGGAAGTGCATCAGCATGTCATTCATTCATAATACTTATACCCTGCACAGCACAATAATAATTGTATGGAAAGCCGTTGGCATATGTACGTACAGTATATTATTGTTCTATAATAACTATCTTTTTGTTTGACGTATTGTAGTACGTACGAAACGAAACAGAGAGGCATACTATACTAGTTCTACTACATATACGTACATACAAAAGCCGTTGGCTGTTGCCGCCTGATTGCCCTCCGGTGCTGCTGCCGTGGCATGCAACAGGACGGCGAGAAAAAAAAACAGAAGGAAAACTGACTGATCGAGTGATCGGTCCATGGATGGGCACTATTTGCAATTAACTCAAAGCAGAGAGAGTGAGAGAGCAGAGGACGAGGAGGCGCCGGCAGATGAGCCAGCCGGCCATGGATGGAGCTAGCTAGCAATGGGGGAACAGCATCGGCGCCGTGCTGGCCAGCGCGGATTGGTCGTCGACATAGTGATGGTGATGATGATCAAAGGCCCCCATCAGCATGGTGGACGACGCGGACGGCTCGTCGGACACCCGGAGCAGCTCCTCCAGGTAGTCCGCGCCCAGGTCCTCCAGCTCCACCACGCCCGCGGACTGTACTGGCAGCAGCTGCTGTTGCGCCGGCATGGCTGCGGCCGACTGCTCCATCATCTTGGTGTTGGTGGGCTCTAGCGCCGTCTTCTTGGCCTTGTTGGGGGAGCGCTTGCGGATGGAGTGACGGCGCTTTAGGGCCAGCACAGGGGAGCCTCCCGGCACGTCGGGACGGAGCGCGAGGGTGCGGAGCGACTCCTGGACACGGTCGACGGGGTAGTTGAGCACCGCGGCGGCGCCCCGCACGGAGAAGGCGGCCTGGTCGTAGGCCATGGCGGCCGCCTCAGGGGTGTTGAAGGTGCCGAGCCAGACGCGGGCGCCCTTGCGGGTGGAGTCCCTGATCTCGGCGGCGAACTTGCCCCACGGCCGCTTGCGCACGCCGATGAGGCCCTTGGTGGCCGCCGGCGCGGGGTGTGGCTGCTGCTGCTGCGATGCACGGCGATTGGATGGGCTCTGTCCTGCGGTGGTGGGCATCCCGTGATGCTTCTGCTGCTGCTCGGAGGAGGAGTAGGAGGAGGAGGAGCTGGTTGAAGAGGAAGATGGCTCCATGTCCAATTCCAGGTCCAAGGAGTAACGGGCAGGTTCCACGTGAGAAGAAGCGCTGCCCGTCTGTATGTGCAGGAGGAGGGTGTTGAGGAGGTGCATGTCGTCGGTGTCACCCATGTCGAAGGCCGACGACATGGGTGAGGAGGTGTGGTAGTCGTCGGCCAAGGTCGGTGATGAAGTGTGGTAGCAGAGTGGCGGTGAAGCTTTGGGTTTGGGTTGAGGAGGAGGAGGCGTGGTGGTGGCACCGAAATGAACGAAGTGCTGCTCCATGGATGTATGGATGGAGAAGCAAGCAAGCAAGCAAGAGGAAGAAGAAGGAGAAGCTCCTCTGCTTGTATGTTCGTAGCTCCAACCAAACCAAACCAAACCAAACCAAACCAAACCAAGTGTGTTACGATGAGTATGAGCAGGGCATCTCTCCGGGCTTTTATAAGAGTGCACCACCTCCTCATTTTGACTAGTCTTCTTCATGCCTTCCAGGTTCCAACACCCCCTCCCAAATGCAGAGTACGTATTTTATGCACCCATGTGTGGGGCCCATATATATTTCTGTACTGTACACAATAGTGGATCTATTCTACATACACGTGACAGTGACCCAAAGTTGCTGAAGTAGGGCGGCTGGATACGACAGAGGAGAGTGACGCCACCCTCTCCTCATCCTCTGTGCACATACACGTCGTCGCTTACCACATCGGAGCTGGAGGTGCCACCTGCATCCATAGAAGATCCCAACCTGCGCTGCGCAGGTGCTACTAGATTTTATTTCTTATCCACAATTCTTTTTCCGTTCTTCTGAAAAAATGAATTCTTTGATTGATTTAGTATGCAGTGACGATGTCCATCGCCGAATCCTACGGGCGGGACCCACCAACACCAAATTTTGGTATGTTTGTTTTCTGGCGGCATATAAAATAAATACTGCCACTACAATAGTACTGCTACAGTAGACTTAGTACTCTTTTTCAGTAAGTATAACCACAACTAGCTTAAGCTTAGCTAGCTACGAACCCACTTGCTCCTTTTCATCCAATCACAAATACTCTTATAATCTAGTAATGCAATTAACTACCTAATACACACTTGCATTGCTAGATTGCTTGCTAGTAATGCAATTAAATACCCTGCTTTCTCCTAATTAAACAAACTCATGCCAGATTGCTTGCTAGATTCGCGGGACGCAAATTCTTTCCATTTCTAACACACACTTGCATTGGGATCCATCAAGGTGCATGCATCCATCCATGTACCTACGATTAATTCATACCTCCCCTCCTCACTACACTAATTGGGGCTACTCCTAAACATCACTAGTTTGTTTGTTGCATCTAATATCATGCTCATTGATAATAATATCAATTCTCTTAAAAAATAGCATCAATCTACAACCATCCTCGCTTCCCCTCCTCAATCACATTACCACATCTTTCTTTACTAATTAAGGTTGCACCACCTTCTACTCAGAGACGGCAATTTAGGCTCGGCTGCACACAATTTTAGGCTAAAAGTTTCATCCAACCATATGTGAACTAGCAACATAAGACTAATAATCATTTCCATCGCACCAATCCTGCTTTGTTTCACGGTGCAAGGCACACGTCGGTTCTAAAATCCTAGTTTGACAAATGACTATCGATAGGAAATGGTATATCACTTTTGCGTCACTGGATCATAATTTATCCTGGATTCAATTCTTCATCAAACTTTGACTTTTCCAAGTAAGAACACCGACAGACCAAGAAATTTGGGGTTGTTAACCCTTTGAGGGGACTACCGGAAGGCTACTCTAATCATTTCACCCATACCCATCCTACTCCGTTCAACAGTGTAAGGCACATAACGTTGTTAAGTTCAAGCAACTTGGACAAGTGACCATCATCAATTAAAAACGATTTATCATTTCTACATCACAAAACCAAATCTTCTCAGATTCAGTTGATCATAAAGAAAAAAAATTACTTTTCGAGCGCATGAGCGGAGCTATTTTCACATCGATTTACCAATAAATTTTCTCAAAATGTATGTTATGGAAATATTTTCATGATGCTCAGTCTAACGGTAAATTTACACCAAAGCAAACAAGGCTTCTTCTCACGTATCAGCTAGCTGTTGCCTTGGGTACAAATCCACATTAGTATATTTATGATGAACAAACAAATACATGTGCTTGTACAGTAATGTCATGTAGCCTAGCCTAATGATTCAGTCTGACTATTCTAAACACACCAACATGCAATTATTAGCCACATATCCAGGCTCTCTCAACTGCCCCAAAAGGTGGTGCGTGTGCTCTGGCATTGGCAACATATACACAGAACCGGCTGGCCAGTATGTGAGAGGCCAGATATATAATACTCCTACATACTGTTAGTGCTCCTAATTATCCTCCCTGGCTAGCTAGCTAGTTGACAATATTGCAACTTGTTGTTAGCTACTAGTAGCTAGTAGTAGGAATAGAGGGACCAACCGGCCGGTTTGGCTTTTGGGTGCTCACTACCTTTTCATGCTATAGTACTATGATGTGGACATGCTAAAGGTTTTGGGACGATATTTCATTATCATAACGCACGCTTGATCCATCCATCCTAGAGAGCTTATAGTATTGTTTTTCAAAATGTCCCACTTGGAATGAAGACATTAGATTATCAATTATGTGTCTATGTGTTGCTCTCCCGAGTCTCGTGGCCAATGACTTTCGGTGAAAATTCTTACGGCACAATATCACGCTCGAATCAAGATGACGCACAACTATGTATTTTTATGTCTTTTCTTTTTCTTATGAAGTACTTGGACAACCCCGCGAACCAGGGAGAGGCCCTGAGCTCGCCGCCCTCATCGGCAAGAACACCACTAGCGATCGGGTTTTCTGATACACGATGGTACACAATGAAACATTAAGATATACTCCCTCTGTTTCTGAATATAAGACCTTTTGAAAATTTCAATACGGACTACATACGGCGCAAAATAAGTGAATCTACACTCTAAAATATATCTATACATCCGTATGTAATCCCTATTGAAATATCTCAAAATACTCATATTTAGAAATGGAAGGAGTACTTTGGAACGAGAAGTAAAAAAAAAAAAAGCAACGCTTTGAAACAAGGCAACTTCTTAAAAGAATACAAAAAGTAGCTCGAATATTAAAGCAACAACAGATGATGTATCCCTGCACGGTAGAATTGGTTTTCCGTACGACTAGCTAGATGCGACCTTTCATTGCTAGATACACAAAAACAGTTCATATAATTTTGAAATGCATGCTAATTAATTAATATGACGCTTAATATCATGTTCGAATCAAGATGACGAGAAACTGTGTAGTTTTATGCGTTTTAATTATGTTCTTCTGAAGTACGTGGGCAACCCCGTGAACCAGAGGGAGGAGCTGAACTGGACGTCCTCAACGGCCAGAACAGCTCTAGCGATAGGGTTTGGTGATACACGATGATACACAATGAAACATTACGACACACTTTGGAACAGGAAGAGAAAACTAATGTAACACTTCGAAACAAGGCAAATTCTTAAAACAGTGGGGGAAAAAAGTAGAAGGAATTAATCGATGGAGCCATAGACGGGATATCCCGTGCACGGTGGAACTGCTTTTGTCCACCACCAGCTAGTTGCAACCTTTGCTCCTTTGCTAGACATACAAACAACAAATTATGTAATTTCGAAATTCATGCTAATAAAGAGTGCACATAACATATAGACTACTAAAGTGTGTACTATGTACTGTATCTTGATATAGTAAAGAAAGAAGATGGTTGAGTATGCATGTGATGTGTCGTGATCTGTGCGCGGCTTCGAGGAAGCAGCAGCAGGCAGCATCAGGTGTGATGTTTCCTCATGTCTGCTTGCATCTGCATGGCGTCGCTCGCTAGCGAGAGCTCAAATTAAAGAGGGACCGATCTACCGAGGAGAGGAGGAAGGTGGAGCAGCCATGCCATGCCATGCCATGCATGCACACATCCCTATACACACTTACCACACATACCTGACCGAACGAAACGGAACGGGATAGAGAAGGAGTATATTCATGCGTGGGCGTGGCTGGCGACGAGAACATATCCAGTGCACCAGGTACACCAATGGTTTTTGGACCATTGAATGAAAAGGCAACGGATTAGATTTTGGCCAAAAGTTGGACCCGAGAAGACTCCTTCACGCTCGGCCGCTGCAACGAGCGAAACCAATCCAGCGCAAGACTTCAGCCGATCAGATTTTCTATCAGGGCCCACCACATGAGACTTTTGTGCGCGCACACATGCGAAGGCTGGGAGTCGGCCCCACCCCAAATCAACACTAATCGCCCCCCCTGATTTTCAGGGGGAGCCCGCTGCTAATTATTTCACCCCTAATTAATCCGTGTAACTAAGGCACTTTCCAAATTAGGCCTGTCCGAAAACGAGCGCTGCAACGCGCGCGCGCGAGATAGACACTCCCCAGTTGGACCATGCATATTTGCAGAATCAACCTTATAGTTTATTATATTCTACCCGCACTCCACATCCAACTCTCCCATCAATAAGCATGTGTGTTTAATTTTTTTAGCCCAAACACAAAAAGGGTTATATATTTTGAATCGAATGTACAGTTTTGAATCAGTTTTGACTGGCAACTTTGTCTCGACAAGATCTTTGCAAGAAGGCCAATGTTGAATATGTTTTTAAAATTGTATTTTTGCCTTTTCAAAACTTTATTTGGAACTTAATTCAAGCATACGTGTGTGGGATTGACATTGCTTTGTGGACGGAGAGTTAGAGTTACAAAACTTGTACAAAAAAAAGTTTCAATACAAAATTATTAATGTTATGGTTAGGTTTGGAAAATAATCATCAATTTTGAAAAATATAATCAACATTGATCTTATTTCGAACATCTCGTCAAAACAAAAATGGTAGTCAAAGGAAAATCATATTCTGGCATATGGTTCAATATACATGAATATATTTACGTTTGGAAAAAAAATAACATTGATTCAATGATAGTAGATGAGAAGAGTGGAGCTCGTGTTGATTTTAGCATAGTACAAGGTATTTTTAGCAAATGTTTCACCAATCCATCCCCAGGCCTACTACCAACCCTCCATTCCATATCCAACGGCTCAAAATCCATTGGTGCATTCGGTGCACAGGTTTGGCTGGTGCACTAGATACGTTCTCGTGAGTCTGTGGAACGGTTCGTTGTCGACCCGATCCATCCACATCCTTCGTCCAAAACAAGAAAAAAGCGGCTCCCCATTGGTTCTCAGCAAGGGAGAA